GAGGCCTTAGGTGGTATTCGCGAGTGTGGGCTGCCTTCCGTTCCTTCCCCCCCCTTTCCCTATAGGGCGGGCCCGCCCTTGCCCCGGCCGCGCCCGCGCGCGTCGGGTTCGGGGCGCGTCCTGCGGGTGACGCGCCCAGCGGCTGCGGAGAGAGATGAGGCTGCGGAGAGAGATGAGGCGGAGGAGGTGGAGGCGGACAACCCTTCTTCCAAGTTCTTTTTCATAGGTCCCTGAAAGAAGTAGTTTTCGTTGTGGGAGGTGGCCCGTTAGAAGGCAACCGTTTGAGAATCTTCAATTGAGCCAAAACACCGTTCTTAGGATTTCACCGCCGCAGCAATCCTAAGTCGTGCCAGCGCACCGTTCTTGGGATTTCGATCGCACGAATAAGTGAAATTGTTGCGAACTTTTAAGACGAGTGTGCGTGACGCTAAAGCGAGGGCTACATTTTGAAAGCCGCCCGCTGTCCATCCGTGAAACGGTTACATACCTTGAAGGCGAATATGCGCTGCGCTCGGGCGCAAGACACATTTTGAAAGTGACCCGCCCTCCATCCTCGCAGCTGTTGTAAACTTTTGAGACGATTGCGCGCGGCGCTTAGACAATAACTGCATTTTGAAAACGATCCGCCCTCCATCTTTGAATCCTTGGCAAACTTTTGAGAATAATGTGCGTGGCGGTCAAGCGAGAACCACTTCTTGAAAACGACCCTTCATTCATCCTTAAAACTGTTGCATTTTTGGTATACGAATGAGCGCGGTGCTGGAACGAGAATCGCATTTTGAGCACCACGCGCCCTCCATCCGTGAAGCTGCTGCGACTTCCAAGATTCAGGATTATATGTGGCGAGGGAATCTCGGGAGAAACGCTTCGCGCACCCCACCGACACGTCAGGGGGTGCGACAAGGATGATATGGTATTTATACGGAAAGGGATGCAGGAGGAGGAGGATGAGGAGGAGGAGGAAGAAGAGGTGGAAGTGGAGGGCGACTACAGCAGGAAGAGGGCGGCATATGACGACGGCGAAGATTGCACAAGGAATTTCAAGATGACGAGCGGTCGGAGCAAAGAAGGAGGGGGAACAAGTAAGGCAGAGTACGAGGAGGAGGAGGCAGGAGGAGGAGGAGGAGGAGGAGGAGGAGGAGGAGGAGGAGGAGGAGGAGGAGGAGGAGGAGGAGGAGGAGGAGGAGGGGGAGAAGGAGGCAGGAGGAGGAGGAGGAGGCAGGAGCGCGGCGTGCCACACAACCTGCTGTGGCTCGCCTCCGTGTCCCTCGTGGCCTACCACGAGCTGGGCCTCATTTCGGACTTCGAGTACGACCTGATAGCCTGCAACTACCTGAAGGAGGCGTACGACCACGCGGACATTGGCAGCTCCGCGGGCTTCTCCCAGCTCTCCTCGCAGGAGTCGGGCCCGCATACGCATCACGTGGTTGAGCTTACGCTTGCTTTGCTGAGGCTACGGCTTCCACGCCATGCCCTGACGTCCACGGGCGATCTCCCCAGCGGGGCGCGCACGTCTCTGGCTTTCGTCTCGTCGTCTCGTCTCGCAGGAAGGAGGAGGAGGAGTAGGAGGAGGAGGAGGAGGATGAGGCGGAGGAGGAGGAGGAAGAGGAGGAGGAGGAGGAGGAGGAGGAGGAGGAGGAGGAGGAGGAGAGATGCGGCGGCCTCGGTCTGGGCCGGATTGGGTCGGTTTTTCTCTGCCGGTTCGGCCTGGCCCGTTTTCGTGCTGGCTCGCGGACCGGCCCGTTCCGGCCGGTCCAGGCCGGGTCAAGTTGTCCATCCCCCGATTCCCGACGTCGCTTTTATTTTTTCATGTCGCAGAATGTTTTATTGGTATTAGTGTCGCGCATCTGCCTCTTCACCTCTCGCCTCCGCCCTCACTCTCCCCTTCACATGCTCAGAGGCAGACGCACACTCAGACTCACCTGTACTCAGACTCACTGACACTCAGACCCACTTGCATTCAGATTTACTCATGCTCAGACTCACTCGCGCTCAGACAACGCATACTCAGACTCACTCATACTCAGATTCATTCATGCTCGCACGCACTCATGCTCAGCTACTCTTACTTGGATCTATTCATACTGATGTTCACTTCTACCCAAACTCATTCATACCCAGACTTGTTTGTTCGCGTATTCATTCAGACTCTGGCTCACTCACCTCCGACCGAACTCACTCATACTCAGACGACTTACCTATCGACGACGCCTACGACAAATCACCGCCGCGTCGCCCACTGCCTTCTAGAATACGCCTGTGGCCAAACGTTTGGGCAAAGTTCGGCCACGCTATTGGACCATGCGATCCCCCAGCCGTTGTGGAAGCCTTTCGGGGAACACGTGGGGGAGGAAGAGGAGGATGAGGAGAGGGAGGAACAAGAAGAAGATGAGGAGAAGGATGAGGAGACCTCTTGGAAGTTTCTTGGATCATTCTTGGGGTCTCCTCGGAGCTTCTGGGGGCCTCTTGGAGGTCTCTTTGGGCTTTTCTCGGGCCTCTTGGGGGCCTTTGGGGCCTCTTTGGGGCCTCTTTGGCCGTCTTACGTCGTTCCTGGCCCGTCTGACGCTGTCGGAAGCCGTCTTAGGAGTCTTTCTAGGCCGTCTTGGGGCCTTCTTGGGGCTTCAGGGTCGTCTTGAATTCCATATTCGTCTTGGATGCCTCTTGTGTCGTTTTGGGGCCCTCTGGGGGCCGTCTCGGGGGCCTCTTGGGCCGTCCTGGGGCCATCTTTGAGGCCCTTTGGGCTATCTTGGGGCAATCTTGGGGTCCTCTTGTGCCGTCCTGGGCTGTCGGAAGGCTGTTTTGAAGCAAACTCTAGACGCTTAGTGTAACCCCACCAGCCCATCCAGAAACGATGCCCAGAGGAATTGCCTCGATCAGGGAAGTGGGCAGCACAGAGAGGAAGGGTCCCCCAGTGGAGGCCTCTTGGAGCGTCTTGGGTGCCTTGGAGAGCTTCTTGGGGCCTGTTGGGGGTCTCTTGGGAGCATCTTGGAGGCCTCTTGGGCGCCTGTTGGGGCCTCCTGGGCGCCTCTTGGGGCCCTCTTGAAGCGCTCTTGGGAGCCTTGGGAGCGCTCTTGGGGCCATCTTGGGGGACATCGATCAAACAAGAAGCGATCATTAGTTAGCATTGCCCCTCGGGAGCCCAAACAATCGCCTCTTGGGGCGCTCTTGCGGCGCTCTCGGAGCGCTCTTAGGCGCTCTTGGGGTCGTCTTGGGGCTCTCTGGAGCCTCTCTTGGAGCCCTCTTGGGCCATCTTGGAGCCATCTTGAGGCCTCGGATGGCCATCGGAAGCGAAAAGGCGAGCAAGCCAAACACATAGAACTTCCTAAGGTTTTGGCATCTTCGGGGCCTCCTGGGGGAGCTCTTTGGCCACTGGGAGCCGTCTTGGAGCGGTCTTGGGGCATCTTGGAGCATCGTGGGAGCCATTATGAGACATCTTGGGGTATCTTGAGCCATCTTGGAGGTCATCTTGGGCTCTCCCAGGCGCTCTTGGAGTCATCTTAATCAGTGCCCCCACACCGACGAGGCCAACATGTGGCTAAAACCTTGGTAAAATCAATGATTTGGCATTCTCGCCGAGGCCTCTTGGAGCATCTTGGGTGCCTCTGGGGGGTCTTCTGGGGCCTCTTGCGGGTCTATTGGGAGCCACTTTGGGGCATCCTGGGGGCCTCTTGGGGCTTCTTGGCCACCTCTTGTGGCCCTCTTGGGGCACCCTTGGGAGCCTTGGGGGCCATCTTTGGGCCATCTTGGGTGAGATCGAGCACAGGAGGGGGGGTGTCTAATTACAGCCCCCCTCAGGAGGCCTAAATGGGCCAGAACCATTGTAAAACCAATGATTTTGGCTTCCTCGCCGAGGCCGTTTTGGACGCTCCGACACCTCGCGGACCCCCCTGTCCAGGTCCAGGGGAGGGGGTAGGGGGAGGGGTCAAGACGCCCTCCCCGCCCGCAAGCCGTCTCGCTCACCCTCACCCGCCCTCCCAACACATACGTAGCACCCGATCCTGGCCCGAGCCGCAGCATATGCAGCAGTCGTCTTTGGATGGCGAGCTACTGAGGGCCAATCCTCCGCCGCCGCCGCCGCCTCCGCCTCCGCCGCCGGCGCCGCCGCCCCCGCCGGCGCCGCGCCGCCGCCGCCGCCGCCGCCGCCGCTGTCCGCCGCTGCCGCCGCCGCCGCGCTGCCCGCCGCCGGCGCCGGCGCGCCGCCGCCCCCGCTGCCAAATCGCCGCTGCCGCAGCCGCTGCCGCGCAGTCGCTGCCGCCACCGCTGCCGCCGCGCCGCCGCACCGCCGCCGCCGCCGCCGCCGCCGCCGCCGCCCCCGCCCCCGCCGCCGCCACCGCCGCAGCCGCCGCAGCCGCTGCCCCCGCCGCAGCCGCCGCAGCCGCCGCCGCCGCCGCCGCCGCCAAGTGTACTTTGTTTCGTTTTTTGACAGGGATGGTGGGGGGAGGCCGCATCGGGTTCGCTGCGCATGCTCCGAATTTGGAAACAGAGTGTGTGTTTGTATTGTTTTGTACAAGGGATGGTGGGGACAGAGTGTGTTTTGTATGGTTTTTACAAGGGATGGTGCGGGGGCCCTCATGGACCTGGGTTGGCTCCCAGTCGCCTGGGGGAGGGGGTGTATATGAATAGGGAACAGTGATAAACCCCTCCCCGAAGAAGAAGAAGGAGGTGTGGAAGAGGCAACTCCCTAAACCACCGACGCCAAGAGGGCTGGTGGGATTCCAAAATTCGTCAACGACCGATGGAACGTCAATGATTCTGGCCTCTTCGGGCTTTCCTGGGGGACCTCTTGGAGGCCTCTTGGGCCCTCTTAGGAGCCTCTTGGGCGCTTCTTGAGCCGCCTTGGGCTCTCTTGGACCATCTTGGCGGTCTTGAAGGCATCTTGGGACCGCCCATCTTGGGGCTCTCTTGGGGCCATCTTGGCCGTCTTGGCGGCATCTTGGAGGCCATCTTGGCCGTCTTGGAGGCGATTGCTCCAACGGAGTTGGGTTTTTGGCGGCGTTGTGGGTCTTTCCGGGTGGCCGGCGGGCTGGGCCGAAGCCCCAGAAGGAGTTCTTTAGACAAGAACCAAAAAACACCAGACATTCGGCACGCCGTGCACCCCTGCGGCAAGACCACAGGAGGCAGTGGATCGAAGACGTCTACGGCAAATCACCGCCGCTCCTTGCCTTTGGAATCGCCCATGTGGCCGAGCTTTCTGGCAAGAGCTCTGCCAAGCCATCGGACCATGTGTTCCCCAGCCGTTGTTGAAACCCTTCGGGAAACAGTTGGGGGAGGATGGCGGGGAAGATCAGGAGGAGGAGGAAAGGCGGAGGAGGAGGAACAATAATAATATTAATCATACTTTTATGCTAATGTCAATGGTAATGTTGACGATCGCCATGGACACTGACTCTCAAGCCTTTTTCTGTCCGGACTAGGATGCCGGTCGACCCGTCCACTGTCGCCTGCGCATTCTCCATCGGCTCCTTCTGCCTGCTGGCGCGGTCCGCGCCACCCGCGCCCATCTGCGGCTGCCAGTGCGATTGTGGGTCCCCTGGCTGGTCCACCGCCCAGCTGCTCGCCGTCGCGGTGGGGCAGCTCGTGACGGGCTGGTGTGCGGCCCGCTGGTGGACGCCGCCTCGGCCGACGGCTCCGTTCGTGGTGGCCGCGGGCCTGGAGGCGACCAAGCAGTTGACGCTGCCTGCAGGGGCGCGCGGCAGGCTTGAGGGCGGAGCTTCTCCGCTCGCCTGATGGCAGATGGCCTCTCTGTGGCAGCGGGGCGCCGCTTCTGGGCCCTGTTCGACTCGTCGGAGGGGGTCTGGCACGAACGCCTCGTCCTTCGCCGCACTTCAGGCGGCCACGTGGTGCTCACGCCGGACGGCGACGTGTACGATGAGCTACTGGAGGACTACGCGGATGCGCTGCCTAGTGGTGTTGCTGGCGGCATTCCGAACCGCCTCTCTGGGCACAGGGCACTCCGCTACGCCTTCCGCCCTGGGGACATCGCCGACGCCAGCGCCTTCCGCCGGCGGGCCGAAGCCTACCTGGCTGGCTGGGCTACCGCACCTCGAGCTGCCGATGGAGACCCCGGCTCGCTGGCTGCCCACACCTGCATCGCGGGCTCGGAGTGGTTCGTCGGCGAGAACCAGGGCCCCCGCAGGCGCGGCGAGGGCATCACCATCCGCGACTCGGATATCGCCTTCGGCGCCTCGGGCCTGGCCCTGCTGTGCCGTGAGGGGGTGTGGTACCGCCTGTGCCGCGACCCGCCGATGCCGTTGCCAGCTGACGAGGGCGTGGCGGACGCGGCGGAGGACATTCGCACACTGGCGGTCGAGTACAATGTACGCGGGGAGCGCACCCGCAGCTTCGAGTCCGCGCGCCACCTGCTGCGCGAGGAGGTCCTGGACGACGCCTGGCCAGTGG